TGATCAAAAACGAAGGTCTTTAGGCGGGATTTAATGAGAGCGAATGAGAGAGAGGGGTCAGGAGGAGGGATTGAGGAAGAGAGTTTTGGGGCAGTCTGAGGGAGAGCCTGGGGAGGTTGAGGAGTTCAGAACCACAGGAGAGAAGACGTTGACAGGAGGCAAAGAGTGTGTATTAAATGGATTAAATGCATCATCTTAAATGGAGGCACCAATTTGCTCATAATGCTTCAGTAGCCATATCTTTTTCAAACTAAGGTGTCAGATTTGTGAACAACACAATTACATCTACAGTATGCCTATATGCCTATAGTTCTGAAGCTGCGACCACGTTTAACTGCACACTAAAATACTGGTTAGCTGGTGGCGGGGAGGTGGTCAGGGAGGTCAAGTCCATTGAGCCAGAATAAGCGAATAAGGTATCTTCTGTTTGCGGGATTCAAACTGAGTCAAAATCAATATCCCTGACCCCTGCAGAGCAGCGGGGATGGTGAGGCTGAGATGCACGATAGGAGAGTTGGGCTGGCAGTTGTCCAAATCGGCCCACGTTTTTTTTTAATTCTTCTGTTTTGGTCTGGTTTCGGCTAGCTATGAATTCTGGATAACTGGAGTCTGGTAAACGGGGATTTACTGTCACTTACATGTTGCCTTAAAGCTTTACTGTGTTTATGAATTCTGTTAAAACTGCATTTGGGTCAGTACATGGTTTATAATTAGAGCTTCCCTGATTCATATGTTTTAGGAATTTTCAACACCTTATGTAAATTTAACATAAGACTTGTGGCGTTCTATAGGTTAGTGGTTAGAGCACTCATCTCTCAAGCAAGAAAACTTGGGTTTGAGTCCCAAGCATTGGACATGTTTCCTAACTCCACATACTCTGTTTACCTAGCAGTAAGAAGTAGGATCCCGGTTGTTAGTCGATTGGTGGATTGCTTTACTGGGGGTAATAATCCCTTAAAAAAACGTAAATAATTACAAAAATAATAATTTGGTCATTTAATCCATGGCTGTTTGTGGGACACTGCTGTATGCAATTGGCTACGTTGTTTCAGCACCAAACATACGATCAATTCACTTTACGGTGATTCTGTGAATCTCTTTGAGACATCTAGAAGACTTGATAAGGCGCTATAACAAATGCAAGGATTATTATTATTATAATTACTCTGTCAAATTGGAAAAAAAGTTATTTTTGCTCAATCATAAGTCAGACAAAGTTGATTTTAACTTTGGACAGAGACCATCACAAATCAACTCTCTACAAAGAAGCCCAGCTCATCTCCAGTCAAGAATAGTTGTTGGGTTCTAATTTCCAACATTTTTATTAACAGGATAGATTCATAAGGAATCCTGATAGAATTCCCATGAAACTCCACTCCAAGCAGAATTCCTCCGGGTTGACATGATGAACGCCCGGTTACTGTAAGCACTCCCCATTTGTGTAACTCTGACTCTTTTTTAAGGAATGCCATTAAAAAATAACTTCAATTACATCCCCATTAGCTGTTAAGCAGGAACCATAGCTGAGTGTAATTGTTAATCAGTTCCAAATCTCCATAAGTCTACATAATGCTCACTTTGACAACTTATTTTTTGGATGTATAATTTCTGTCTCACGGCTGACGACAAATGGAATATAGGAGTTGTGATTACCGAGGGAAATCAGAAATGCAAATAAAGAAAAGTCATTGACTTTCACCATTCGTGACCCAATTTGATCAGTTATAATTGGGCTGTCAGGACTGTTGACCTCTATGAAAGGTGGCTCCCTTCCCAAGCTAATGAAACGTATGATAAGGGTGATTAGTGATACAGAACTTATTTCAAGCACTGAGACCCTTCAAACTGTGCCACTTCAGTTATGTAAAATTAGGGACTAATTAATTTGTCATCGTCATTCTGTACACGCATTATTAACACCATTTCCTCATGGTCTTCGCACCTTTGTTTCCCATGGGAGGCATTCATTACCATACCATCTCCCATAGTTAGCACTATGTGGATTAACACCCATAAAATCTGGAGCTGGATGAATATCCAGTTTAAATAAGAATTGAAAGTTATGAAGACAGGAATAGACACAGATGATCAAATGCTTTGTTGATTTGATGGCTCCTGTATTGAAGGGAATGGTAGCTGTAGGTGTAACTAGTCAGGTTTGAATATGTTGATTGCTTCATAAAATGATCAAAGAGTTTCCCTTCCTTTCAAAGTTTAACTAACATATATTTGATTCTCTCATGACACTAAAGAATAGTGTATTTATATGGAGTCCTGTAGCTAAGTGGTTAGAACACTCGCCTCGCAAGTGAGAGACCTGGGTTCAATTCCTGGCAGGGCGTAATGTTGAGCAAGTTTCCTAACTGCACACATCTCTGTTTATCGTGCCCCTATAACTATAATAATAATAATAATCCTTGCATTTAATACAGCGCTTTTCACGTCTTCTAGACATCCCAAAGCGCTTCACAGAATATACTGTAAAGTGAATTGACTATATTTGTGGGCGAACGCGGCAGCCAATTGCGCACAGCAGTGTCCCACAAACAGTCATTGATTGAAAATAACCAATTTATTATTATTGTTTTGTTTTGGAGGGATTATTATTAATCCAGGAAGGAAAGGAAACTTGCCCAAGGTTTTGCCCTGCCTGGAATTGAACTCAGGTCTCTCGCTTGCAAAGCGAGTGCTCTAACCACTGAGCTACAGGACTGTAGTTAGTAGGAACCCAGTTGTTAGTCAATTGGCGGATCACTTTTCCGGGGGTAATAATTCCTTCAAAAAAATAATAATAATAAATTGGTCACTTCAATCCACGACTGTTTGTGGGACACTGCTGTGTGCAATTGGCTGCCGTGTTTCACCCACAAAATATGGTTAACTCAATTTACAGTGTATTCTGTGAAGCGCTTTGAGATGTCTTGAAGACGTAATAATGCACTGTATCAAATTCAATGATTATTATATTACAGTGAAGCCTAAATAGCAATATTTATAAACTGGATTCAGTGTGCTAATTGCAACTTCTAATTGCAAATATTTAAGTTATTTAAGTTTCAATATTTGCAAAATGGCTAATTTACTATTCCAAAAAGTGACAAAATGCAAAAAAAAGCAAGGATTTTCCTCCCCACCACCATTCTAAACCAGTTGGACTTTGGTACAGTATGATAAATGTCGTAGCATTGTTAAGATCGCAAGATTGGTGTGGATGAAGAAGGCCCTTCAACCCACCAGATCCCTTCCCCCCAGATCACCAACCTTACTGTCCCTCCATCATAGCATCAAGCTGTTTGTTAAATGAGTCCATTGTCCTTTCCTTTACCACATTGCATGGCAATCTATTAAATTGGTGATTACCCTTTGCGTCAAGAAAGACTTCCTGGTATCTGTCCTGAAATTGCCATTTACAACTCTAAACCCTTGTCCTTGTGTTGGATCCAACTGTCTTGTTGGATCTTAAAGTATTGATCTGGGTTTCTTTTCTAATCCTATTTAAAATTGTATATGCCTCTATAACAGTTATAGTTGTCCAGTTATCTTCTCCCAAGAACTCCACAAATACCAAGACCCATGTGAAGTAGTAATTTTTGTATAAACCCTTCCTCCAGTGTTAGGGTCCAACCATTTTTCTGGCACTCAGAGTTTGTGAGTTTGAATAGAACATAGAGTTTGTGTAGGTACATAATATGATTTCCTGATGACTAGCTTTTTAAAACCTTTTCCAAACCAAAGGTTGGTTATATGAACCTAACAAGAAGTGTGAAGAGGAGCCAAGGTAGTGCTTATTGAACATATTGAACAATAGTTGAGGCAAAATCCACATTGACCTTTAGGTGGGAACTAGACAGATACCTCACTGCAGGTACAAACCCAATAAATGTAATTGCCTTATGTTATAACATACTTCATCATATTTGTACGTTCATCTGGAAAAGTTAGTAAACTCGTTAGTCAAAATTAGTAAACAAAGCAAATTGGAAGGTTAGGATATGGAATGCCCTACCAGGAGCAGTAGTTGAGGCAAAATCCATATTGGCTAAGAGGGATCTAGACAGATACCTGAAAAAGAATCAGCTGCAGGAGAATGGAGAAAGGGCAGGTAAGTGGGACTGAAAGGATTGCTCTTGAGGGAGCCAGCACAGATATAATGGCCAAATAGCCTTCTTCGGTGTCGTCAATCTGGATGGTTCAAACAGTGTGATACATCAAGAACAGGCATTTGTAGTGATAACTGGTGAATCCCACCCCCAAACAATGGCAGACAAGACTGTCATAGCAGAACTTTGAGGGATGAAAGTGAGTGCTTAAAAAAGAAAAATGTAAATTACTGGTGAACAGCCACTGGAGCATATCATAATGCCAAATAGTGAAGTTTGTGCTCATGAGCCCATGGCCGCTGAAAACTGGGTCGAGATTGGCAAACGTAAACAAACAGATTTTGTCCTATCAGGGTTCTATTCAAACCAAGGTGTCAGAGGTGAAAGGACCAGTGCTTGATGCTGTTCAAGTATCTGTAGCCTCCCACGTACATCCTCTCAATGATCCAAGTGGCTCAATATGATTATCCTTTATAAAATTAAAATAATCTGCCATGGCCAGATGGAACAGTTTTGTCTTTCATGTGACAGTTGTGCACAGTTAGTTTGAAGTTCACTATCTTTCAATGCAATAATTATTGAACCCTGCAGTTGTAGAAACAATTACAAGATTAATAATAATAGATTTTTTTCATTAACTAAGATTTTAATTGAATGCACAGAGTTCAAGATTTTCCTTGCAATTTACCAAAGTAAGCAGACTCCATAGAGCCGCTGACTCAAGCTTTAGTACTGCCTGGGTTTGTAACTAATTGCACCCAGTTTAGCTAAATCTGGTTATCAGATCGACAGAAAGCAAAAACAATTCCATTCTTCATTACTCCTGTGTGTCAGCCAGTTCCCCACATAGACAAAAGAATTACAATTGTCAATCTCATTTTATTGTCCTCTCTCTTCCAGCTGGTTGCCCAGACTCAGCGATTAAAGAGCTGCATCATTTCCGAATTCTCGGGAACCACCAGGTACGTTAATTGCTGGAAGGTGGTACTAACCTGTCACAAAAAAGAGCTGCTAATGAGACAGCATCGAGATCTCCCCAGGGAGCCTGAGGTTGCCTTGTCAACCCCGGTGACCCAGGATGGGAAAAACACACAGGATGTTAAAGGAAAACTCTCTGTTCCTTCCATCAACAATGACAGGTTATTAATTGGTACATCTGCTATCTGCCAGTGCTTTTCAGCTTGGCAGTTCCACAGTGAACAGTGCCTTTTGCCAGTTGCAGATGGGCAAATGAATAGTTGAAACCAATCTTGCCACAGATGGGAATCTGAAGATGAATGATTAGATATGGGATTTCTGTTTAAATTCATTAATTTAAAATGTCTCGATTTACCACAGCAGTGACAAATATTGAGTGGGCTCTAAATCAAAATGAAAGTACCTTTCAGTCAGAGCCAAGATGAATGAAATGTCTTTGTTCTCTGGAGTTTTGTCAGGGAAACTCTGCAGGGTTTTGAGTCATATCATTGGTAGTGTCGCCCTCTTTGCCAAGTGTAATATTGTGTGTGTATGTGTGCGCGTGGAAGATGGGGGGGTGGGAGGAGAGAGATTGAAGTTCTGCTCTCGGTACTTGGCAATGCGAATATTTACGACGTGTGCGCTTTTAGATTTTTATACCTCGTAACTTCCCCAGGAATATTTTTTTAAAGGAGAGAATCTTTAATCACAGTTTCTCTGGCTTATTAACAATACAGTTGTATTTCTGTAGCCCCATATTCATAAAGCAGTGTATCAAAATGCTTAACTAATCTAACAGTCTCAATTCCTAGACAGTTCTCATGTACACAGATTTAATTTCAGTGTAATCCTGATTCAAGTTCAAACTCCCCATGTACCATAGTACTTTCTGTTAACTTTCATAATTGAGTTATTGAACAAATCCCAAATTCTCGCCCTCATTTTCCATGGATTCGCATTATTTCTAAGACTTCACTGCCCACTCAGCTGCTCTCTCTGTTCAGCAATCACTGCCTGCTTCATGTTCCCTACCTGCTCCATCTCACCTCATCATCAGTGGACAAGCTTTTAGCCACTTTGCCTTTCCTCTTTGGTACTCTATCGCAGAGTTATTCTGCCTTATCCCTGCTCCCTATCGATCCCTGACTTAAGAACTATACTTTAGGTACCTTAGTAAAACCTTGGTATCCGGAATTTTGGGGTCTTGTTTGACCCTCAACTATCCTTTCTACCCACATCTGCGCCATGACCCGCTTTGCCTTCCCCCACCTCCGCAACATCGCCCGGCTCTGCCACTGTCTCATACCACAGGTCACCAAAACCCTCATACATGCTTTCATTACATCGAGTCTTGACTATGCAAACTCACTGCTTGTCGGCCTCCCCAACTCCTCCCTCCACAGGCTGCAGATCATCCAGAGCTCTACAGCCACATCCTCTCCCACACTAGGCTCCGAGACCCTATCACCCCCATCCTCACCCAACTCCACTGGCTTCCCATCACACAGAGGATACAGTTTAAGATCCTAGTCCTCACCTTCAAAGCCCTCCATGGTCTTGCTCCCCCCTACCTCTGCGACCTCCTAACCCTCTACCATCCTGCTCGCTCCGTCTGCTCAGTGGGCTCCGGCCTGCTTCATGTCCCCCGCCTCGCTTGCCCCATTATTGGCAAGCGGCCTTCCACCACTCTGCTTTCACCCTCTGGAACTCCATCCTGAAATCCCTCCACCTCACCCCCTCCCTTGCCACCTTCAAGACTCATCTCAAGACCCTCCTCTTCAACCGTGCTTCGATCTCCCTGCTTCCCCCACTGCCCTCTGCCTTTCTTCACCCTGACCCCCAGCTCAGGTCGGAAACTCTTGTCTGCCCAGTGCCTTGGGACGTCCTCCCAACGTGAAAGGCGCTTTACAAATGTAATTTTGGTGTTGTTGTTACCTTTCTCTCTCCCCTTCCAGCTCGGGAACACAGTCAGTTATGTGAATTGCTTTGTGATGTCCTCCTGATGTAAAAGGCACTATATAAATGTCAATATTGTTGTTGTTCAAAGCAAAACACTTAAATACTGTACTCTAATCCAAAGTATGCATTACTTATATATTTTATAAATAGATCAGTTATTCAGTTTTCAAACCAAATTGTTTCTTCAGTGACTGAGCTGAGCTAAAAGATTTGCAAACTGATTATTTTTGAATGCAATTTATAACAATTCTGAGTCAAGCAGAATATCGTATTAGGTTTGGGTTTATCAACTCTTTGCGTTAGACAAACAAAGTTAAGTGCCACAGGCCTCTAGAGCCAAACCCTTCTCCCTCTCGCTGTGTTCACGCACTACCGTTGAAAGAAGACAGATAGTTATCTAATGCAAATAGTCAGGAAAAGGTCAAGGATGAGGTGCTGGTGATGGAATCCAAAATTCGAGATAAAGGTGAGAATTTTATACCTATTCATAAAGACCTATAATGGCCCAATTGGACCACTTCAAATGAACAGAAAGAAAAATGGCAGTGCACATATATGCAAGGATTTGATGCATCCTCCTTGCTTTGTGTGTGCTCTCAGGATAATGCCAGATGAATAATGATAAACAGGAGCATCAGAGCAGTCTGTTTGAGTAAGTGAGAATATGACGCTTAGAATTCTACTGAGGAGTAGGCGGCTTTGACCCTGGTGACCTTGCAGCAGAGTATAGAATATAGCATCTTCTTTTTGCATGGTGGAATGGCAACGGGCGGCATCTATTTTTGTGGCTGGTCTGTCTGGGGAAGAGGAATTCAGTGCAGAGAAATACTTTAAAATTTGCCACAATAGCATGATACGAGGTCACAAGTTCAGGGTTGAAAACCTCCTTCACACGTGCTCTCCGCACCCTCGTGCCCCTCCCGCCCTTGCCCGCTCTCCCCCACCCTTGCCCACGCACACCCCCCCTCGCCCGCTCTCCCCCAGCCTCGCCCACGCACACACCCCCCTCACCCGCTCTCCCCCACTCTCGCCAACGCACACCCCACCCTCACCCGCTCTCCCCCACTCTCACCCTCAGTTGACCCCCCCCCACCTTGCCCTCTTTCCCCCACCCTCCTCCACGCTTCCCTCACCCCCACCTGGGTTTCACCCTCCCCCCACCCTCACCCGGGCAACCTCACCCACCCACCCTCAACCGTCCTCCCCCCACCCTCGTTCATGCACCATCCACGCTCCCACCACCCCTCCCATACTCCCACCACCCTCTATTTATCCTGTTATCTTTAGAAGCTGCAGAGTTAACAATGCAGTATAAACTGATTTTGTTGGGAAGTTGTTCCACAAATATTTGTACTCATGGTGGGGGGGGTGGGGGGGGGAGGGGAGTGATCTTTTAATTTTACAGGTTTTTGTAATTTTTAAAATTTAGGTACACTCAGAAGGACTGACAAAGTAGGCATTTGTATTAGGGTGAATCTTATCAAAATGTGAGGACATTTCCCAGCAGACTGCTTCACCACATGCTATTCATGAGAAAAATTATGAATAGTTGCCCAAGTGCAAGAAGCAGGAGGCAGTGAAATGTTAATGTCACCAGGCATGCCCTGTGAGCTCTATAACACTTACAGCGGAGAGTCTTGTTACTCCAGGGATTAAAGTGCATCGTGGAAAGTCCTGTGGGGCCCAATCCTCTATTATGAGCTACCGTTCATTATAATGAGGTTGGTCTTATCAGGCAGTTTGATTGCAGAGATGTCAGTTGAATGTCAGCTGACAGGGGACCAGGTGAAAGGTTTGTTGGAATTGAAGCTTTGGAAGCGAGTTTATAACAATGAGCTTGACTGTACTCGGCTTAGTTTCTTGCAGTGATCTTACTTTAACAAAGGTCTGTTTTCAGATGAAGCAATGTAGACAGATAAATGGATCCTCATCCTAGTCTACAAAACTCTTCACAATTTTACCCATTCCTATGTCTCCAAAGCCCCCGAGTTATATTCTCCTGCAGGTGCTCTCTCCTCTTCAGACTCCAGTATATTGTTCATTCCTCACAAATTCAATTCCTCAATCAGTGACCGAGCTTTTAGCTGCTATGTGAAAATATGATACTCACTGTAAAGAGCTCTGAGATATTCATTCTACGTTAAAGGCACTACATAAGTGCAAGTTATTGTTAGTTAAAACAAAGTTAAAATGAGGCTGTATCTTAGAAAAGAAATAGAACTAGTAGGGACTTCTGGAGTAATCCACTCATGTTGAAATATTCAGCATCACAATGTATTAACTCTCAGAGGACATTCATTAGGTAAAGCATGCAAATAATTAGCCATGTCAAATGCTAGTGCTGATAGCAGCGATGCTCATTTTACAAAGATTTACATAACGGAAACAGAACCTGTCACAGTACTGGTGTCTCTGGAGTCTGTTTGGAGAAGTTATATGCAATAAACAAGGTCTTTTAAAGAGGTACAGTCTTTATACAGAATTATTTGGTCAGAATTGTTGCCTCTGTGATGAAAATATACAACTGATCTCCCTCACTGTCTTAAGGATAGGGCCTGTTTAACAACAACAACAAAAAGATTACATTTGTATAGCGCCTTTCACGTCGGGAGGACATTCCAAGGCGCTGGACAGAGTACAGCATTTCAGACCCTATCTGGGGTCAGGGAGGGTGGGGGAGGGGAGGGGAAGGGGGGTGGCCGATGGCATGGTCGAAGAGGAGAGTCTTGAGGCAGGACTTGAAGGAGGCTAAGGAGGCACTTAACCTGGGGCACTGCCTGTAATGTTAATCTTTATAATACAATAATAATAACCCTTGCATTTGATATAGCACCTTATCACATCATCGAGACGTCTCAAAGCACTTCACAGAATGTACTGTAAAGTGAATTGATTGTATATTTTGCGGGTGACCTTTGTCTTTAGCCAGCCAAAGGTTCCACACTACTGTTTTGCCAACTTTATTCTTTAAATAGAAATGATATATTTCACTTCCCCCACCCCTTTCAAAGTGCTTCCCTTCTCTCTTGAAACGCTTACTCTGTAA